AATTTCTACAAGGGCTCTAAAACTTTGGCTGATTGTATTTTTGTTCCTATAGCCGCTGAAAGCATTCCCAAATAATTTTGATGGATGCTATCGCGTTGACAGTTTTTGGTCGGATATTAATCCGAGTCCATTCTGGTTACGTAGACCTGTTTGTCGAAAGAACAGAGTTGCTTTTATCTTCTTTTCAGGTTCTATAAATGAATCACTTGACATTTCAACAATTTTGATACTTCGTTATTAAGTTTTTCAAAGTTTCCAGTTCAAACCGTTTTGCATATGTTCGCACTAACCTAGTTCTAGAGATCATTTCCCAAATTTATCAATAAACACCTCGAGTGCGAATTCGCGCTACAATTTCCAACTAATTTAGTTCTATGGATTGTTTCTGGTTCTTCAGGAAACACCCTTAGTTCTTTAGATCTCTGGATACGCACTAGAATTTCAAACTAATCTAGTTCTGTGGATCAGTTCGGGTTTATCACGAAACAGTCTGTGCATTACCAAAAAACATACCTTTGAGAAATGCCAATAAATTTTTTTCAGTGTAAAGTTATGCATTTATCAAGGACTACATAAAAGTACTGACAGCCAGCGAAGAGTCCACTTCCTTTAATGACACTTTACTAAATAGGTGAACCTTGAACACATAATATTTACATACACACGCATACAGCTCAAGTGGAAGAATAAAGCCGATAAACCGAGATGCATACAATCGTAAAATATCATATATGGCATGTGCCAGCACCTCTAACGGTTGGATAAAGAAAAATATAAACTAAAGACTAAAGAAAAGCAGAAGAGCCTACTACCTAAAGTGGATACTCTAATCTCAAGTTGAGGTTTACAAGCAAGTGTACCAAGGAGACCGAGCGCCAACACGATTAGACAAGCGAAAATACATATGAACAAACTTTTTTGTCAAATCCATTTGTGAAATTTAAGCGCCAGCTCTTTCGGTGTGAATCCGCGGCAGAAAGACACCGCAATGAGCCAGGCAGCCGCTCACTATTACCGACGCCGACACCGACGCCACCGCCAAACAAGCTACCTCTGTCACTTACACGCCACCACAGCGGCAGGATGGCAATCGCACCGCAACGCAAAGGCGGCTTGTTATTGGCGCGCGACGGAACGAAGGAAGCGAAGGAAGCTCCAGCGGCAGCTTATGCAAATGAATGCCGCCAAAGCAGCAGAAACAAAGCGCGCAAATCATTTACATAATGAAAAGTGTAAAAGGAAAATGCCAAGAGGCAGTGGAGCGCAATCCTGCGGCGCGCGGCATGTGGCATGTGTGTTGTACATACGAGCCATGCGAATGATTGTGGGCCACAATGAATGCATTCCACATCGCACTCGAGCAGGAAATTGTGCGCGCTCGCATAAATGTTGACTGACAAAAAACCGAAGTTGCTTTGCTCTTGTTGCTGTATGTTGTACGTATGTTATTATGCCAAAATCAGCGAAGGAAGCAAGTAAGCGAAGGATGTTGCGGCAAATAAGGCACAAACAGGCACGAAGTTATGTGTAGGCATCTATGTGCGCCTAAGTAGAAGAAGGTAGCTTGTAAAGTGACAGCCTTGTAATGTGTTGTTAAGGCAACAACAAGCGCAACAACAGCACCGTGTAGCGGTTGTAAGCAAAAACTACAGTCAGCGCTACAAGTACGCCACACACACAATGCAACCAGTAAGCCCCAAACGTCAAACTGTCGACCTGTCTTGAACGGTCTCATGTATGTTGTTGCCCCTAACCTCCAGCCATCCTGGCAGGCATCAACTGTCAGTGTCAAATGCACTTCGTCTTCGCATGCTGTTGCTCCCCAACTATTGTCGCCAATACAGGAGCGCTCCCTCTAACCGCAAAAATGCGTATTAAACACCTTCCATTTACACTGTCGACCAAGCGATTGTCAACCAGCGCTTGCTTCCGGCTTCGTGCGGAGCGGAGCGTGAGAGCCCAACGAAACCGCAAACTGAATTGGAAATGTCATGGCAAGAAAGCACTTTAATGTCGAGCAGAGTTGCATTGCGGCGTAGTCTAGAGCTTTAGCTACCGACATGTAGGGGTCTATAGCTACTGTTATTTGTGTAGTGTACATATATTTACAAGCAAATCATTGGAAATGCATTATGATTGTAATGATTTTAATAATTTTGTTACACAAACCTGAAGTTACACTTTGCTCCTAAGGCAACCTATTCCTCTACGTCACTATTATTAATGAGCTGACGTTAGAGGAGAAAAGGAATAACCTTGCTGACAGGTTTTCCCACTAAACACTGAGCTTGCACTTAATGCTTTTATCTATCTTAATCTTTATTTATTGATGGCATCTGGCAATAAGTGGTTCATATTGTTTCGTAACGTTCTTTAAAAACACTGAGCTTCCACTTCATGAGCTTTCACTTCATGAGCTTTCCCTTCATAAGCTTTCACTGAAAGATTTTATGGAAAATATTTCTTTAAATTTTTACTTTTTATTGCTCCCAAAATACTAAGCTTTCACTTAAGAGCTTGCACACTATGTTTTTATCAGTCGATTGTTTTATAAAACTTTGAATATTTTCATAAACAATATATAAACCACTATAGTCTCACCCTCAACTTATGCTGTTTTCAAAGTTTGGTTCTAAACAGTCTAAGTGAGCTTTCATAGCTTACAAATATACCATGCCAAGTAAAAAAATTTTTAGAATTAGTTAGTTTTTTTTAATTTTTAGAAAGTTAGAGAATTCTTAGTCCGAAATAACATGAGTTAAAAAGGTACAGAAAAATTTCTCGAGAGCACTCAAGATTATTACCTGCTGGAATATCGAAATCCCGAATAATGAGAATTAAAGTATTATGATTTAGTCCCACAGCCGAAGTATTTCTACCATATATTCGACTTGGAATACTACCAAGATGGTAACATTCAGATGCGTTCATCTCAAAATTAGCAGTGAGATGTTGATAAAAAAAGTCCGTGAAGTGATGCCAGTTATGTCTACTTATTAGAGTGGGTCAAGAAAAATTATATTTTGCTGCAAATATTAGAGACAAGATATTTTTTTCATATTAGAGATACTGAGATATGGATTTTGTTAAGGAAACCATAGGAAATTGAAAAGCTTGAGACCTTCCTATTAATATTCGGAGATCGTACTTCTTGAGAAATCTATGAGCTGTTTGCCAACCATTTTTTCAAAGTTTAAAGTAGATTAACATCAACTTGTCGAAGCTCAAAGTAATCCCCCTTTCCAATCCTCGAAACAGCTTTTTAAGCCTAAACTAAGAGCTGTCGACCCATAATCACGGCCTATTTTTACTAATAGCTTCGCGCGAACTACGCATAACCACTCTCAAAAAGTATTCCTTGCAGCCATTTTGGCTAACCGAAATTAGTTCGGAGTACACCACACCTCGATAATCGAAGAAACTGTCAACATAATCTTGATTTTTGACCTGCTTTGACGAGGTTTTTTCGGTCATAAGCATTGATTCCAGATTTATCGATAGTCATATACCTTTCAAAACATTCTGGTAATCGAAAATCATTGTTCCATAGACGTTAACTTGACGGTTTTTCTCGTAAAAATTGAGTGATTTTGACACCAATCGTGTTTTCGCTTTTCTTAGGCTCTAGTAGGCCAGCCGAAGAATGCTTTTCACTGATCCTTCCGATATTCCAACGATGCCAGTAAGATATCTGATATCTATTAATCGTCGATCCCTAAGCACCAATTCCTTTATTCTATTGACGTGTTGATCATCAGTTAATGTTGTGGCCATCCTGAAAGTGGGTTTTCGTCAACGCGCTCTCAACCCTCTTTGCGTATTTTGTGACAAGCAAAAACACTTGCTCACGGCAACCTGTTATCACCCAAAGTCTTTTCCAGTATGCTTGAACGTTTTGATTCCGCACAAAGAATTTCACGAAACTTCTTTGCTGAATAATTTCATTCATCGCAAAAATCGCCGAATGCACTTTATGTCATACCAACCTTAAAAATAATATTTTGACGAACTGAAAAAGTCTTACAATTTTTTCGTCGCAGCATTAGACTGCAGTTCACAGCGCGAAGTTCAGCTTGAAACGAGAAGGGAGAAAAGCACAGTCTGCCTTTTTTATTTCGCATATAGACTCATTATATAGTAAATAACTATACATGAAGTTGAAGAAATTATATTTATTTCCAAGAATATATATATTAAACAAAGTATGTATGTACTTATATATATGAGTATTGTCTGTATATAATGATTTTCCATATTTCATTCGCTCTTAATGGTAACTAACTCACACAAATCGCACCAACAACACTACAAAAAACCTCTACACTGCAATGTATGTATGTAGCTTTTTTAGCACTAAATCGAAATTAATTAATTAATTAATTAAGCACCAGCCATTTGACCCGCTCCAACAAAAAACACCCGCCCACCCATGCAGTCAATCACACTTTTTTTACAATTCACCACTTGCTCCACCCCCTTTTTTAATACGAAAATTATTTGCACAGATTTACACCACTCACATTTTTGCTAACTTCACAATTTTCTTTCTTTCTTCATCTACTTTTTTATATCATCTTGTATTTGAATCCAAATTAAATAAATTGTTTGCAAACACCACGTTTTACAATATAATGAACAACAATAACAACAATTAATAATATAATGAAAATTTATAACAATTAATAAATGTACCAAAACAACTACAACAACACTACTACTACTATTACTACTACAACTACAACTACAACAAACCAACCAAACAACTAACAAACATAACCACCAAAAATACTCTCTAAATTATAACTGAAAATCATAACTTAAATTAAACCAAAAAATTAAAATTACTAAATTGATTGACCAATGCAAAAACGAAAACGCACAAACAAAAATTTAATTGAAATAAAAATTCAAAAATACAAAAACAAAAAAACATCAATCAACCTACTTCCATCGTCATCATCGTTGACTTTGTTTGTGTCGATGGAAACGCTTGATTGAAGGTTACCGGATTTTGTCGTTCACCTCAGGAAACCCGTAAATCCAGCCCGACTGGTTCTGTCACATCGTCAGTCTCGAATGCCGCACTGACACCGTCACGTCAACTCACCGATGCTGAGAAATTGCGCAAGGTCATTTTGGAGTTGGTCGACACGGAACGTACTTATGTTAAGGTGAGTAGCATTTACTGTAGATTATCTTATTCAAAGTATAATATCTGTAAATGTGTTATATAAAATGGGATACTTACTTATTATTTATTTAATAACCTCGCTGAGAGAAATAAATTTCGAAACTCATTCCGAAATGACCAGAATACCTGATATTTGAGTGTCGTAGCATGAGTAGTTCTATGAGCAAAGTCAAGTATTATGAACTCTCAGAAGAAAACACGTTAAGCTCACCAAAAGCCGATCAAAAGTATTTGTAACTATTACGTGAAGAAAAGTCGTTCTTCGTTGAGAAGAAATCATATCTTCCCATTAATTTAAATTAGCGTAGGTCGACTTCGAATCTTTTTAGATACATTGCTGTCCAAAATAAATGAATATTTAATTCCCACGGAGCTTTTTATCATTATTAGAGAGCTATTAAACTTTGTGACAATATAACTACTAGCTTTATCTTTAATATATGTGACCTGGTCTACGAAAAGAGAGCTAACGTGCGAAAACTAGTTTTCTGGGAAACAGCTGTTAAAAATCTCATCTTCCATCCGAATCAACTAAAAAGTGAAAACTGGTTTTGACATCTAAGCCCCCTTTCCGTAGACCAGTTAACATATAGTTTTTAGTCTTTTAAAAATTTCGTATATTTTAGTAAAACATTTACTATAATTTTGTTTAACCTGCGAGAACCAAGAACTCGAATATAAGACTCGGACCTGTTAATATCATAAACCCTTGAAATACGTAGGACAACTTCTTTAAGAAGTTTGATTCCTGAATAATTGTCTCAAGTACAATCATAGAGATTCTGAAACACTGAGCTCCTGCCGTGGCAAATATGTTATCATATCTAAGGTTCTAGTTCAACACTGATAGATTTCTTTGGGCCCGACAACGAAAAATTTCGCCTGTTGATCCCAAAAAATGGCTTCGGTTAAACAGGCAAATTATTTTCCAACAGCTACATCGAAGCATGACTTAAATGATAACATATATCTATAAAAACTGTGATCTCTATCGGTGTCATTCGACCAGAATCGAGATGGTTGCTAGTATATCTCACTAAGTCCTACGAAAATAACAGAGGAAACGCCAAAAACTGCCAAGCAGATGAGCTTGTTAGAGAGAACAACCTTAACCCATTTTCATCTGACAGGCTAAGGATTGATATTGTGCAGATCTCTTTCCCTCTAGCTTGAGTTCTATGGACCTACCGTAAGCTAGGCGAACGCTGGTCAATAACCAAAACTTGTGCGGCTACTTAATCCTTCTGGTCCAAAGATGAAGCTGTCCTTTAACTATTTCTACTTGAATTTAGCAAGATTCATCTTGCCACCATTGTAGGTGTTCTCACAGGATACTGTCCAATACTCTCAAATACGATGAGTTTTGGAAATCAAAAAGAGCCAGCGTTCACAACTGTCCAACTATCCAAGTGAGATCCTGTGTTACCTTTAGTCGATACGATAGTCCACAGAAACGGACTTATATATACACCCAGTCGAATATTTTCCTCTCATCAACCTTAGAATAGATTAGATGAGTAAGTGAGGATTGGGCCGCAACCTAGGATTTATTGTGCCTTCATCTAAGTCACAACTAAGTCCCAACTAGCCACAGCAAATAGATAAGTTCCAATACACTGCTAGGTGCTATTGATGCGATGTGACGCCTATTTGGAAACATGGATCCAAGGGCCTTAATCCAGCGCCTTCAGACTCCTGTTCAGGTTATTAGCAGATGTTCTGGTATTTCAGACTCTAAGTCGCAGAACCGGCAAATCGCACAATAAGCTAGGGCCATGTTAAGTAAGTACTTCTTGAGCTTGCCATGGGCAGTCTAGAAGGCAACGCTTAGCCTGAGTTTTATCCTTGGGAGATTGACTACATATTTGAACCTCTTGAGGCTCATGCTTGGTAGTTGTTGCCACTGCCTCTCCCTACTCACTGTATAATCCTTGCGGAGCAGCTCCATTATTGTGAAGGGACCAATCGCAATAAAAGGTTCCGGTCCTACCATGTTGGTGGATGTTGCGAGCCCATCAAGCTCATCAGCCAGATCATTCCCTTCTATACCTTTCGCTTTGAGTGCCGCTTAGCTAATATTTACCATAGTTTAGCTATACGTTCATTGCGTTAGTTGCGTTGGAGGTATAACTCTACATACCCAGTAATAGCAAAGATCTCTGCAGGAAAATGCTCAGCAACTTACCCATAGATATGGTTCTGCGACCTCTGCGCCAATTTCCTCCGACGTTTTTGATCTGTCAGTGAACCTCTTCGTTGCACTGTATCCAAGCAGTAGCTCGAGAACAGTTTGTGACATGAATATTGATCCAATCTGTTCCAGAAGTCGTTTTCAGCTTTACTCTATGTGTGAATACCCGAAACAGCTCAGAATTAATAGAATAAACTAAGAGAACCTTACAACATAACTATCATAATACATTAAATAATAAATCCCAATGGTCGAATAAGAATGGGTACTTGTAAATATATCCCATTTCTCGAACCCGGGCCTTGATCGCTACATAAATTTCACAGCAAATCCTATTACTCCTGCATAATACTCATTTGGTTTTCAGTAATTCCATAGCTTCTTCCTTAAAAGGACTGTAATGACCAGGAAACCTATGTACATCAACGATTTTTGTAAAGCTTCTAGCTGTAATGTCACCTTTCTTTTTTCTCTGTGGGTTCGGAGTATCTCAACTCAAAAGTTGCCTATGCTTTCCTGGCAGTCCTGAGACTTTTACTTAAGGCTTTTCAATAAATAAGTATAATTCTAAGGACTCAAAGCCAAACTACTTAAGACAAGTAGACAAAACTTGGAGAAACGCTGAAGCAGATATTATTGATTATGCGAGTACACTAAGTATTATCTAAAGTCACGAGCAATTCACTTCATAGAAAGCCAATGATATCATCTCACCTATACAACGACGTTGCAATGAAAAACCACACAGCACTTTCGCACACGCAGAGATATTCACGTCAAATATCGGCCATTATGCAGCAAATCATCTTAGAATTAATTACTTTTCGCCTTAAGTGGGCCGCGGCAAAGAAAAAGAAAGAGTCTTACCAAGCTTATAATGTACGAATGAGTGGCGTTTTATAATGACACCAAGACTTTGAGCAGACGAGCCAATGAATGGAGTCAATTGGGTTTGAAGTGTTTCGCTAAGCGATTGCGTGAGTGGCGGCGGAGAAGCAGAAAGAAGTTGCTGAAGAGGCGAGAAGTTGCTGAAGAGGCTTAGGTACTTATATGTATATAGCACAGGTGCAAAAACAGCTAACAGCAGATGTGGCACTTCATGCTTAAGTATACAAACCTACAGTCACATGTACAGTAGCTACGAATACTATTTGACTGACAGCAGTTTGACGTGGAAGTGACATTTTATGACACCCACACTAAATATAGGAGTACAAATTTTTGGGGTGTCATGAAGGGAATGTAAATTTTAAGGTCATGCCGCATTGCGATTAAGCAATAATGGCAAAATGGTGGAAAAGTTTTACGCAAATAGGAAGAGACAGCTAAAGAAGCACAACAAAAAAGAATAACGCTCGCGGTGCTTTGCTATGCTCAATGCCAAATTAACGCTTTTGAATTGCAGATAACTATGAGGCGTTAATTTTATGCTAATTTCATAAAGATTTTCGCAATGAATATGCAAACGAATAAACGTAACAGTCGACTGATGAGTCGAACTTGCCACACCCAGCTAAAGCAACAACACAACACTCTCACTACGTGTAGTTGCAAAATAACGGTAGTTAAGCTACATTTTGTAGTGTTGCAAAGAAGAAGTACGAAGAAGTTAATGATAAAGCACTAGCGAAGTGGAGAACCGGCGAAGAGGGGACAGTTGGAGTGGCGAGGGGTTTGGCACGCAACATTGCTTTGTGCTCATTAGAGACGCGCGCTCAAAGCCGTTAAGCAAACATTGAGATAATAATAATTAAAATTTTAATTTGCAAATTATGTAAAGTCAAGGCAAGAGAGGACGAGAAAGGCGAGATTAGCGCGGAAATACAAGTTCTTATAAGTTAAAGCCGAACCAAGGCAGCTACTAAGGGCTTATATGGAGTGCGGACAAGCGGGAAATATTAGAGATTTGGTGCGAGTAGCTTCTATTTATTTCTCGAATACAACTACAATGATATGGCCCAGCTTACCACAGCACACCAACCGTTTTTCTTCTTCGCTGTTTAGCCAGATACCAAGTGTAGCCAAGTCCTTTACGTATCCTTTCCAACGAAGTGAAGGTCTTCCACTAATTTAACCAGCAGGTACTGCTGTACTCAAATACGCTCACAGCTAGAGAGTTTTCATCCGTTCGGACGACAAAACTTAGCCAACGTAGCCGTTATCTTTTACTTCGCTGAACTATGTCAATGTGGTCCTATAGCTCGTACAGCTCATAGTTCTATCAACTGGGGATTCGCCATTTCCAATGCGGAATAAATCTTCCGCAGAACCTTTTCTCGAGATCTCGTAACGCCGACTTAGCAGATTTTACCATCATCCATACCTCTGCACGACATAACAGGATGGGGATGACAAATGGGGACATATTACTACTGTTACTGCTGGTTTCAAGATAGACGAAGTTATCTGCGACTTCGATGTTATGACTGTCAACAGGGACTTGGGAAACAAGTGTTTCTTTGATGATAGAATATATTTCATCTTGTCATCGTTCCCTACCATACCCATTTGTTTCGCTTCTTTGTCCAATAGCTTACATTTAGGTAGGCGCACAACGTCAGTTTTAGTTTTGCGGATATACCAAATTCAGATATTACAGTATAAAGACAGCTCCTTTTCGCGCTACCGAAAGCAGCATTGTAATCGACAATGAGAGAAGAATCCTGTTTCCACTGGTCTTTTCCAAGATTTAGCGCAAGGTGAATATCTGGTCTAAGTGAATATCTGCCCTAAGGCCACACTGATAAGGTGCAAACAGCTCGATAGAACCTTCAATGCTATGTTGAGGAAGCTTATTTCACGGTATTTAGCGCAGATTGCCGCGTCTTCCTTTTTGTGGATTGGATAGAGCACACTTAAATTTCCATCGTCGGGTCTGTTTTCGTCCGACCATATTCTACAAATAAGCTGATGCTGTTCCTTATCAGTTCAACTTTTTTTCCAAAATGAAAGAAATCATATCACTCTTATTGATAAACCCTGTACATATTTTAAATAGCACTGTCTTTGAATTAAACTCGTAAATCCTTTAAAAGGGATAAACTTACTGCTGCTTGCCGAGCACTAGTGGAAAATAACGCGCTTCAACTATTCAGGTAAAATAATTATTACATAAAGGAAATAAGACAACATTATAGATACTCAGTAAATGAGAAAGGGCAAAACAGAAGAGAGAGAACAAAAAGAGGATTCCTTAAAAGTACCGCATTGTTGATTATTAAGTCAAGTTCGTAACTCGAATAAAAGTAGCGGACAAATAAAATGCAGCGGCTAAAAAATTATGACTATCAGCTACAAACAACAACCAAAGCAAAAACAAAAAGTGAAACAAAGGTGAAAACAGAAAAAATAGAACACACTCGAAAGAATGGTGTGGTACACCTGGATTTGTCGGTAATTTTTATCACCAACTTTTCACGCCAATACATATTTAAAGCACACATATACAAAAACAAACATATTCGTATATATGTAAGTCTATTTTTGTAAATAGAGCGCATTTCTCAAGGTATTCGTAATTTTCCGCTGCCAGCGCCGACAGTCGGCGGCAGCCTTTTAATGAGTTTGAGGAAGTTTTGCGCAACTTGGCAGAATTTATACGGCGATGCCAAAAGTGCAAACAGCAAACGCCAAACGCCACTAATTGGTAGCGTTGGTGGTGGCATCAACTTTTGCCGCAACCGCACGAGTCACAAAAGCGTGGACCACGCGATGATACCAGCCGCCACCACTAACGGTATGCTGCATGGCGTGGCGTGGCATGTTCGCCGGCAATCTCTAATTCAAACTTTTATTTACCGAACCACTATTGTTTCAAAGTTTTCACGCGGTATTAGCATACACCATTACAGAGATATAATTCTGCGCCTTTATTTCCAGTTTTAATTTTGCGTACTATTTGAGCGGAAAGCACCAAACACCGCCACACTTATTGGAAATGTGCAGACGCCCACACATTCGTATCTCTCTCTCTCGCTCAAGTGTGAAACTTTCCTAACACTTCCGTCCTTTGCTTTTTTGTAGCGAATGTCCGCAGGCGAAGTAGTGTCCTCTTTTTTCCGATTCGATTGCCGTTTTGTACTTCCGTTCCACCACACTCACTTCTTGTCTTAACTTAACTTAGTTACCGAACTCCCTCGCTCTTTCTCCGTCGCGCCTTATTTTTCGACTTATTCTAATTTTAATTAAAATATTTGTAAAGTACATAATTTTTCATTTCTTCGTTACATTAACGATTTGGGTCACAGCCGCCTTCGGACTATATGTGCTTAGCATCGCATAAATGCACCGTTATTGTTAAGTGGCTTTGTGGTGGTAAGAGCATTATTTCCTAGGTGATTTTATCGGACTTCACGACTCTCTCTTTTTTTTTTTTTTTTTTTTTTTTTTTTTTTTTTTTTTTTTTTTTTTTTTTTTTTTTTTTTTTTTTTTTTTTTTTGTTACAAACGGAATTTTAGACCAACACCTTAAAATTTGAGACGCGATTTCGATACGAATCTTGTTCCAACTTTAGATTTTTCAAAGCAGAAGCAACCTTGGCACCTGATATGAGATCGGGAAAAGCAATGAGAGCGGTATAATTTTTGAAAGCTTAAAGTGGTCTCAGCAGAACTACGAAAAAGTAGATAATGAGATTATAGTTCTTCTCATTAACTACTTTTTCTTTTTGTATCCCCTTTTTGACATAACCTCACATTATATGTCAAAAATTCCAAGAGACAGAAGTTTTGTTAAATCCACCTCCACATTTACTACAAATTCTTCTTCTTTATTGGCCCCGACAGCGCTTCCGCTTCCGCGTTAATTAGAGATTCCAATTGCAACCAAATTCTTCTCCACCTGGTCTTTCCAACGAAGTGGAGGTCTTCGTCTTCCTCTGCTTCCCACGGCGGGTACTGCGTTGAATACTTTCAGAGCTGGAATATTTTCATCCAGCCAAGTCGCAAATACGACGACTGTTTGGTTGATGACAGGAGTCTGTGCCAAGATTTAATAAATATCTGTTCAGTTCTTGATTTTCGAGGGCTAAAGCCACACTGATAAGGTGAAATCAGTTTGTTGAGGGTGCGCTTTAATCTTAATCTTAGTGTTCACAAACAATGTAGTTTTTTGAGAAAAATCACATTCTTGCTTCAAATTTGCAAACGCACWAGCGGCTAAACTATTTAAACGAGGTAGGTCAAATTAAAAGTATTGGTTAGATAGTTTTAAGAGGGTGTTCACAAACAATGTTGTTTTTTGAGAAAAATCACAGTTTGCGCAGATTGTCTCCCTTTTTTTGAACTGGCTTTCGTCCGAATTATTTATTATTATTCTAGAATTATTTCGACCGGCAATTTATCGGCCCCGCCGATTTTTTGCTCTTCAGACGGGTATTTGCTATTCTAACTTCTTCATGGTCGGGTTCACAAATTATAAGAGYCTATAATTATATACATATATATATATTGTTTTTTTAAATTTTCTTAATTTTTTATAATTCTAATATCATTATATTATATGTTACAGCATTTAAACAATCTGTTGGAGCACTATTTGGAGCCGATGAAACGCGAAACATTCCTATCGAATGCCGAAATTAATGCACTCTTTGGTAACATTCACGAAATTGTCACATTCCAAAGGCAATTTTTGCAGAATCTCGAAGAAGCGTTGGAATTGGAGCCAGACTTTCATAAGTTCGAGCATTCTAGTCAGTTTCGGGTAAGTAAATAATACAAGCTCAAGTGGGTAATGTTTTCATAAACTACTTAAAACTTAAACTGGAGAATTGATAAGAGGAGTAGTTACTGATATATGATAAGATATATTATAAAAAAACATATACACTTAAGAACTGCTACCTTTTTTTCACTGAAACCAAGTTATCTACTTTTAAGAAGTAAACCTAACGAATTCAAGAATCTTATAATGATTAGTTGTTGGCTTTGTTTGATAAGACCTAAGGCAATAGCAAATAATAGTTCGTTTCTTTATAAACCAAAAATATCCCTGGTTTAAGTCTTGGCTGAGCCTTAAGTTAATCGCCAAAGGGAATTCTCAACAGCTGTCAACTTCGACAGGCTGTTTGGGTTTCTGGCATGAAACGTAACCAAATTCATATGCTACTGTCAAGGCCACGTAAAGTCAGTTTGTAATTTATGATGAGAATCAATACGCTCTATATATTAGATTGAAGCAAAAAAAAACGACTATTGAGTTATTGGTTCAAACGAAACTTAATACAGAGAAAAATATCAAAGAATTTGTCTCAAATTTTGTATTTCTAAGAAAACTTCGTGTGCGGAATAGTGGCTAATGTTGCAAAATGTTATCAAAAACACAAAGCTACGAGAGTTACAAAGCCTACAAAGGTGATCGAGAGATCGTTTAAAATATGCCTAGTTCTGGAGGACTTTCGACCTCTTCAACCGATGAAAATACAATATAAAAAATGTAAAAAGTATGATGCTTAAAAATCGACAGGAAGGCGTTAGACAGATCTCTCGTGAGTCAGTATCAGTTTAAACAATAAGTCATTCTCAATAATGAGGACTCTAGACGTATCCACAGTGGTTTCGAGTGTACGGTTAGCATCGCGACCCTACCTTTAGAGTAGTATTCACTCCGCGCTCCAGAACAGTAGATCTACTGCTACTAATTGAAAATACTTCCGCACTGCAATGGTCAGAAATCCGGAAAGTGAAATTTATAATTGGTTTCCAAAAGTATACTCTCCTCTACCGTCCCTCTCATCAAGCGACTTCTTCCCTTCCCTCGAAGGAATGCGAGTAGTGAAAACACTGCCGGAGCTTGACTTATAGATCTCGTTAACCAAATATTTTGTAATGAAATCGAAGTGTGAGGAATCTATAGTGTCCACTCTCGCGGTTAGTTTGTACTCTGAGGAAAACTTTGACTATGTGTATGCTGGTGTGTTTGCCATTTTCTTTCAAAACCGATTTAGACGATGTCAATGACTAAATTTTTTGTCAATCGCTGAATATTATCTTCCAAGGCCTCAATATTCTCGGGCTTATCTGCGTAGATAAGCGACTTCACATAACTTTACAAATAATCGTCCAGGATCTTAGAGGCCCTATCATAACCTTACAGAAAGTAGTGCAGCGGTGTAAAATCTCACGACCTTGTACGCCATGTCAAAGACCTATGGATCCGAGAAATGCGCTCACCAACAGTTTCCTTTAATACATTGATTATTTCCTTGACTTTACTGCTTGTTGGAACCAATGCTCATTCACACCAACATTGTCCAGTTCCGAAACGAAAAAGTCATCAATCATGCTCTATAGCATTGCCCATTGGCGGTATAGTTATGGCCGATTTCATTTTTGAAAAAATATGAACCAATGACGAATGATTCCCTCTGCCCATAGAGCACACCAAGGCTTGGAGTGTAAAAATTTTTTATATAAACTTATCCCATTATAAAAAAATTATATTCATCGCTTAGCAAAATGTTCTAAAGAAAATCGTGATCGGTGGCAATTGCCTAGCTCAAATTGTTGTTCTTTTTTTATTTTTTTATTTGTTTTTTTTTTTTTTTTGATTTAGTATGTTAATAAAAGAAAGTCGAAGTGAACAGGGTTGCATATAAAACCAATAACCGCTCCACTATTGCCTCGCTATTGAGCTTTCGTTTAACATTGGTAAACTGGTAAGAAGTACACAGGCGTAACTGAATAACGGAATTTAATGCACTTACTAAGCAATAAGTCTCAAGTTCTACATTTCTGAATATGAATATTTATTTTTCCAATAAGCAAGCATTCTTGGAATTGCAAAGAAACAGCAAGCACCATGAGTGCTAGAGTTTATGAACACAATACCAACTGTTTGGCTGCTCGAAGAAGTGTGGGTTTCCGTTATTGTTTGTTGTCTGGGAAAACATTTCTCATGCAACTTTTCCACATTTATTGTAATCTTTGCTTAACTTACTTTCAAGCAGCGATTCACCTCATTGTTTCCACGCAGGGCCGCCATGACTTGGCTACCTGGACAGAGGAGAGGCAGCTCGTAGATTTGCCTATTAGCGTAACGCCAACTGGCGAATGTCTAAATGTCTCGCTGCAACTGTTTTTCTTGAACACAATTGCATCCGCGCCACTGCCATGTTCGCTTCCTTGTACTACCATGTTTCCTCACTGACATTTCATTAGAAACGATAATAAATTTTGTTCTATGCAGAAAAAGCGCAAAACAACAAAAAAACGCAAAACAAAAAATACCAAAAAAAAAAATAAGAAAACAAAGAAAGGCGGAATGCAAATGAATAAAAGAGCGGAAATCGTAAAAATTTTCCAATTTAAACACAACAACAATAACAATTGCAATACCAAATAGAAATTTCAAGGAAGCACACTCACACTGACACACCCACTCGAACTAAAATCTAAAGCGCCGTAAATAATTACAAAAACGAAGCACACGAAGCAGCAGAAGTTGTAACGAAATACTCATAAAATGGAGAGAAAGCAAACAGCAAATACATAAAAAAGCACAGTTAGTACTTAGAAGTAGCTGTTATAAATCCCGTTGCACAGCACCAGACACACACATCAACAAAGATGCTGAAGTGTGGAACATTAGTGGACCGAGGCACTGCATTGTTGTTGTCGTTGTAGCATAAATACTAGCAGTGGCGGTTGGCTATCACGCATTTTCCACACCAAACACCAAAGGATATTTAAATTGTTGCACCAACTTGTTTGACCGTGTTAGCTCTGTTGCTTCGGCTTTGTTTGGCTGCTGCTAAGCAAACAAGCGCGGAAGTGGAGTGTAGTCGCAGACATATGTACTAGAGAAATATCCACAACACTGACGAGGGTGGTTGCAGAGCTCAGTAGTGTCTCCAGGTTTTAAATATACATGCCTTGCGAGTTGAGTTTGTGACTACTAGCGAAAGATGCATTCGAGGAGTTTTCAAGATACTTGACAGCTCAGTAATGGGTTTACTTCTTTATATGGTCGACTACAAGTTGAGTGTATGATTACTGAAAGAAGAGTCAGAGAAACACTTTTCATGTTTCGGAAAACTCATGAAATGTCTCTTAAATAAAATAAAGGGTCCAATGGGAAATTCGACAAAGTCTAAAGTTCGCATATGAAAGACTGTGCAGTGGTTCTGTCAATTTTTGACAATCTATATTATTACATAAGCGGGTAATAGACATTGCGTATTGCTGAAGTTAGCAACTGAATCTGAAATTTCAATGCACTTTCGACCATGTTTTCAGAACCAAACATGCAGTCACAATTTCTGAAAGACTAACAAGCAGTCAAAACAAGGTCCCAAGACGATATATTCGGCCCCCAAGTGGTGACTACATATGGAAAAGTAAGCGTTCAAATTGCATCAAAGAGGCATTCTACAAATTTCCAACACCCTTTTTATATCGGAAAACTCAAGACACATTATTGAAATAAAATAAAAATCTTCACTAAAAATCCGTCAATATTTAGCGAGACTTTCATCTGTGAAGAGATCTGTTAATTTTCGACAAGCGACGTCATTAAACAAATTTTTGACAGCTGTTGAGTCTTAAATTTTATTAAAATACTCAAAATTCTTCAAACTAAAGAAAAAATCATCTTTGCACAAAGTAACTCTTTTCTTATTCTTCCACCTATGCAAGCGCCCTCGTAAAATCTTATTTCATTGCATGTAAATACCAGCAAAACTAACAATATCCTTGTGCCAGTGCCGGTGCCGGTGGTATATTCACTCGCTCACACTTTCTTGGCACTCAAATGGACGATGCAATCTTTTTCCGATTTATGTATTTGTTACGACCACAGAGAATGGCTTCACTTGATTGCGTTATTTGTTTGGCTTATAGCGCTATAATTCTTCTATTGTCTGCTCTTAGCTGTTTGCTAATAAATTACACAAAGTCTAGCTGTTGTTGTTGTTATTGTTGCTATACAAATTTATTTTAAGCAAATATTGAGTTTAATTTGCTACTCAACGCGCACAACAATCAACTCGTTCCATGCAACACACACCTATTTATACACTCACTTTTATTCATATTGCAACAATGTTTACCGTGTATAAATTTCATTTGCTTCGCTCGTTGCTGTATTTGTTTTGATTTGATAAAAAAATGTTTTACGACGGCGCTCCTAAAGGTATGCTATAAGTTATGGTTTACCCTTTTTAAGTTGAGTTTGGTGTAAAATTTTAGAGTTTATGGTTAGGATAGGATAGGGAAAAAATTTGTTGGCCTGAATTAGATATGAGTTAGGAGGAAGGAATTTTCTTCAGATATCAGGAAAGTCGAAAGCTCCTAGTCAGACTCTAGAGAAAAAAGCAGCGCCAAAGAAAAAGGCGAGAAAGAGCAAATCTTCTGTTCTGAAAAAAATCACAGTAGCATAGAGATACCTGTATTATTACAGAGTTCGTACTACTCATTTTCTCATCTTAAATATTAATTTCAACTTAAGTAAACAGGAAGTTCTTGGCGACTCTAAGCCCTTTGTCAATTTTTTAAAACTATGCCAATGTTAGATTAGATAAGTATTAAATTGCGATGTGCAATGTGATCTTAGGTTCATTCCGCCTTCCTTCTATTCACACGAAATGATATAGGCCCTCTGATAAGTTCCAGAATCTTGCTAGATGTCAACGAGAAACAATGCTCCCTATTCAGATATATGGATCAAAGAGGTTTTTTTTTCTCTATATACAATTTCTATGCAATTTATTGTAAAAAGTAGTGCTGCGGAGTTACCGGTTCCAAGTCGAATTACCGGCAGTTTGCATTGGAAGTACTATACCCATGTTGAGTAAATGCTTCATGAGCCGGCAGCGAATTCGCGCTAAGCACCTTTAATCTTTAATCATGCCTCTAGTACATATGTCAGTCTTTATCCCCGCCTGTGGACCGAAATATTTCATAGCTGTGGGTCCCAACATCATGTAGGACTTCTCCAAACGAATCTTTTGTAAGGTTCTTGTCCCACCATCTTAAAAGCCGGTGCGGAGTGAGCAAATTCGTACTCCAATTAATTTCCGGCCACATTTTATGCCCAGGCACCCACATAATACGCTTGCAGAGAGAAATGATGTTCAGCCGTTCTTTGCTCTCCTGGACGTGTAAGATGAGTTCACTTTTAATGCCGGCTAACTATCGCTGAATGTACGGTCATTGGCTAGGAAGCGTTTAATGCGAGGTCTTGCGATTTCGGCACGGTTCAAGCCGACGATATATTACTACTCAATGCTATCCTCAACTAGAAACTTGATGTTGGCTTCTATTGCTTTAAGCAAAAAAGGAAAAGACTGTATATTTTTGTAACTATAAAAGCATTTTGCATTAACAACGTTCAACATCAGAACGAATGATTTTGAGAACTATGAAGAGTCAGAACTAATTTCGTCCGGGCAATAGCTTTTTTTAGTCCCATTCGGGGTTGCTTAAAGCATGTGTAGAATATTAGATTAGAAAGATCAGACGAGGGAGTCAGCCTACAGCCATGAAAAATCACTAAAAATTTCTTTGGAACGACAAAAAAAAGAACTTTATACTAATTTTATTTCGAAATTTAAGAAAAATTTTCAAATCTTAACCAATCTTGGCTTAACGTAGGACTTATGTGAAAATAGTCGCACAAAATATAATGGAACTGCCAGAAATTCAACATACATCATAAAAAGTTAGTTACAACTCTTAACTACCGACTCACCAAAGACCAAAGCATAAATAAAAAAAAAATAATGGAATACATAAAAGTGCAATACGAACATGTATGGTTGTATATACATATGTATAGCCATTAGATATAGTAGTAGCCATATACGCGTTCTTTTAACCACGTGTATGAGCGTGTGAACGCTTTTGCTTAATATGTCGTCACGTGACGACTACACTCCTCAGGTGTCTTCTTTCGCTATTCAGGTATGCATTTGTTTGTTCTATCTCTTTCGTTACGTCACGGAACAAAAGGTTTCAGTTTAATTAAATTCGCATTAATGACATCATTATGGCTGGTGCTCGGTCGCGAAAGTGTTCATAGAGAGAGTGGGGTGCGGCGATGCGCTGAAAAACTGCAATCAAGACAGTTGAATGGTTTTGCTGCAGCTAAAGCTTTCACCGTCGTTTCACTTCCACTTCTGCCGTCTGCCGTCTATGAAGCTGTCTAATTTTTTGTATTTGATGCTGCCGTCAGTTTTTTCTTTCCTTTTTTTTCTTTTTTTTTTTTTTTGTATTTTCCATTTCTGTGTGGGGATTTAATTTACTCCTTTTTGTTTATAGTCTTTTGTTGCAATTTGGAACGACAGTTGCATGGAGTTGAAACAAAATGCATAGGAATGAATGGCGAGCTAAGCTAAGCAATGGTGTAGTCTATATGTATTTAGCCTTATATATAGCCTTATGTATATATGTATAATATACGTATATATATATTGCATTACTGTCATATACTCTATATGCAGCTGTATCATAATTACTTTAATCGTAGCGAGTTTGATGGACTGAAACGAGGTTATATCCATATGTGTATGTATGTTTGTATATCAGTGACTCTCGGTGTACTTAATTACTCTTTCAGTTTTAAAGCTGAGAGCTCAAGACATGTATTTTTTGCTGCAATTGAAGCTATTATTCGTTGCTCTTTTAGAAAATATGTTGGAAGAAGCTAAATCAATAACTCAACTCAGGCAATAAATACCAGCTCTAGCTGAAATTGTTTGATGAAGTAATTCAAAATCGTAATAAGAACGAGGTGTGTTCCAAAAGTATGGCGAATTTTGTGTTTTTTCAAAAATTATTTATTTATTCATGAATATCTATTTGGTCCCCTTCAAAGTAATCCCCAKGAGATATTATACACTTGTGCCAACGGTTTTTCCAATCTTCGAAGCACTTCAAAAAATCATTTTTTTTTTTTATCTTCTTCAGCTCCTCCTTCGGTGCCGTCTTTATCGCATCAAGAGAAGCGTAATGTCGTCCTTTTATGAGCCTCTTCAGTTTAGGCAACAAGAAAAAGTCACAGGGGGCCAGATCTGGGGAATACGGTGGCTGCGGCATCATTAGTGTGTTGTTTTTGGCCAAAAAGTCGCGCACAAGCAACGATGTGTGAGCAGCGCCGTTATCGTGGTGCAAAAGTCAATTTTTGTCACATCTTCTCGGCCTTCTGAGTACATTTTGTACCACCGATAAACGTTGCTTCGGTCCAAGGTAGCTTCTCCGTATGCCACAGTCAACATTCGGAATGCATCCGCGCACTTAATTTCGTTTTTCACACAAAATTTGATACAGGTTCCTTGATCCATTTTTTTGAATAGGTAAAAATCGAAAACGATCCAAAACACGTGCAAGCAAAGCAGCTGTCAACAATTAAATGAACATTCAAAATAGCCGAGCTTGTCGGCATAAGTGAGAGACATGAGTACCAACATAACGAAAATTCCAAATTCGCGATACTTTTTGAACACACCTCATAATCTTTGGGTAATCCAAAATAATATTATTGAAATATTTTACACAATAAAAATTCCCTGATATATTTTGTCAAAAGTAGAAAATTTCAAGTTAATAAAATCTCATCATCTATACCTCGTGGTTCTCAAAAGTAATATTAAAGTAATCGTTAAATAATTCATAGACTCAATGAAAGATTTTTCTTAGAAAATTTCTTTTCATTTTGATCGATTTCCTTAAAAGTAGAAAATCGTCAAGTTTCAAATTCTAGCTGAAATTCATTGGTGAAGTAATTGAAAATAGTACTAAGGTAATCGTTAAATTATTCAAAATGGTTTTAATGGAAGATTTTGATAAGAAAATTTTTCTTAGTCCATTTTTTCAAGAGTAGAAAATGATCAAGTTAATGAAATTTTTTTTTATATCATAGTTTAGTGTTATATAATAATTTGAAATCACAATGAAAGATTTTTCTCAGAAAATTTCATTACATTTTAATCGATTTCTTTAAAAGTTGAAAATCGTCAAGCTAATGAAATTTCTTCATAGCATACAATCATCAAAAAGAGTTGTTTTAATAATGCTCACAGAAACTAGCTTGACATTGACTGAAAACAACCTGACTCCAACTTGTAGAAAATTACTTCCGAGTTTTTGGTATACCAAGTTCCTTAACAAAGTTCTTTACCGAGTTGATCCCATGCCAGAATTTCAAATATAGCTATAAACCGTCTTTTAAACTCAACCAAATATTGAAACCCTTTCACATCAAATCAATAAATAATTGCTACTATACAGTAATGATTTCAATCCTCCTATGAATATTGTAAACTCTACTTATACACCAAACCTTCTTTAATTGTACAAAAATTTGTATTAAAACTGTTTCCTCTATTTAATTTTTTTACAGAATGTGCTCTTTGCGATCGGTTCGGCTTTCTTGTACTACGTCAACCATTTCAAGCTGTACTCATCATTTTGTGCTAGTCACAGCAAGGCACAGAAGGTTTTGCATCCAAGTAAGTACAACTTTAAATTCCATTATATTATATATTAAAGTAATGTGTTTGAAATATGTATATATCTAAAAGTACTAGTAGTAAACTATACGATATTTTTAAAGACAGTGTAGAATTTTCGAAATTTTATTATTCATTGCAGTGAGGAAGATTAGAAAGTAATTTTATATTAACAAATTTTACATTTTTTGGTAAACGTCTTTGCCGCGCTTAGTGGTCTATTACTCAATCGACGTTCAGTTGCACTCTACGAAAAGGACTGAGTATAACACTTGCATTGCATTCTAGTTTCTGCTCCAAAAGTTCATAAAAATGTTTCCAAAATTCATAAATTTTCATAATAGTTACAATTAATAATAATTAGGGTGCAAACTAATTTCCAATTATGGGTTTGAAAAAAAAAACATCGTTTGAAATATAATCATATAAGTATACTGGTTCCTTAAAGTTAACGGATTTCCTTATGGAGTGTAGAGGTTTAAGCGCTACTTGAACATTTTGAGATATTAGTTGGAAATTTATACTCCATATACCAGATTGTTCAATAAGTCTTGTCTTCTGATAAGAAAAATACAATTTTATCATTCACAATACACTTTATTATTCAATATAACTTCCCTGAATATTAACACACTTGCTCCAATGCTCCTCCAATCTGTAGATCCCATCCCTGAAATGAGAATCCGGTAGGTTTGCAAAATATGCTTCAACTTAACAGCCGATGTGACTACTATATTTGATAAAAAAAAAAAACGCTTGCCATGTATAAATTTGTTAAGTGGTGAATACGCCCAAATAATTCGAACTTTACTTCATGGATTTTAGCCAATTTTCCTTATGAAAAAGGGTTGATGCAAACCGAGTCTTTTTTCACGAATGTTTTTCTTCAACTGGTCCAAAGGTTGCAATAATATTCACAATTAATTTTTTTTACCAGTTTGCAAGTACAAAATTCCTCTCGCATACCAAAAAACGGATGCCGTAACCAATTCTTGGCCAATTTCCGGACACGAATTCGTTTTAAAGCCGAACCACCAGGTTAACACCGCTTATTAGCATCTTGTTTTGATTCAGAATCATGGTGATAGAGCCAAGTCACATCAATAGTGCTGAGTCGATGCACAAAATCCACTTTATCCTTTTTAAAATGCTCCAAATGTTATTGAGAAAGTCGCATTCGAATGAGTTTTTGTTCCATTGTCAGCGAATGCGACACCCATTGTGCACACAGCTTTCTAAAACGCGAAATTTCACTTTTCAAATAGATATGTGTAGATCCTCTACTAAATTTCTCTCAGTCAATCAACGATCTTCCAAAACTATATCCTGTATTTTGGCTATGATATTTGGCGTTGATGCGCTTTTTGGACGTTTAAATTCAGCAACCCATCCTTCAACAGTTCTAATTGTAGGTGAACAATCATTATACACTTTCAACATTCGTTCGTAAATTTCTTTTGGTTAAAATTTACAGATTGAAATGGAACTTCACACATGTTCATATGAAGAATGTACCAACAATTTTGGGATAGTAGCAATGACCTCTTTTATCGAACGACAAAACTTATTGAACAACCAGGAATATACTATATATATAAATGATCAGCGTGACGAGTTGAGTAGATTTTTGACCGACCGTTGGTCCATCAAACCGTCTGTCTATGCGAACTAGTCCCTCAGTTTTTGCAACATCAATCTTAAATTTGCTCAAATTCCTTACTTTCCAAAGAGCTGCTCAATTGTATTCACCGCCGATATCGCGCCACTATAGCATATAGCTATCATATAAACTAAGCGATCAAAATTAGATAATTGTATGAAAAACTGTTTTATTTGAAATGATATATTCATGAAATTTGGCAAGAGTTGTTTTTTAAGGCAATAATATAATCTACGAAGAAATTGTTCAGATCGGATAACTATAGCATATAGCTGTCATACGAACTGAACCAATCAAAAAATTAAACAGTTTATTCTAAGGAAGCATTTAAAATGTGAAGGGTACTATAGCTTTGTTCTAACCGAATTAAATGTTTATGTTATATTTTAACTTTAATAATTTTTTCACAAACACTTATTGCACAGAAGCTACTAAATCACTTGTTTATTGCAACATCCCAGAGATTCCATTATGTGAAAAACAAAATCGAATTCCGATTAGTTTACAAGAAAACACATCAAATTGGTTAGCAGAGGAAATGTATCTATGTATGTATCCACATATATAGAATATATTCAGCAACTATCAGACTTCTCATGTAACTATCGTAACTTTATAAGCAAAATCGTTAAACACTGTTGCTAGCATTTACATCTACTCTTTGTCCCATTTGTGGCAGAATGAGGATTAGACTGCTAACGGCACTGCATCAGGCAGTGTAGTAACTATGAAAGTTTTGCCCTCACAAACACTCACACACACATACATACATATGCATTACTTTATCTTCATAGGTATAACATATCTGTTGTAGAAATGTGCCATGGGTACGCCACCGTAGGTCTGCCGTGACAACCGTCGCATTGTCGTTTTAGCCCTTCGTTGTGCCAGCTGAGGGAGAACATTTCAATTTTACATTTAAATGTGGACATATAAAATGTGGAAAGTTAGTTTGGAGTTTAACTAAACACATGTGCTGACATTCAGTTAGTTGAGATTTTTAAATTCGAATGACACTTTGTTTTAAAGCGGTGCTAGAGTTCAGTTAAACGAACGATGGCTTCAAAATTAATCGTATATATAATGTATACCTACTTATGTGCCAGATAGAATGAAAATTTGGTATAATTTTTTGTGGGAAGCCACTAGGTAAATTAGCATAAGATAAAAAGAGAGAAAAGATTTGTTAATTAAACACAGCTTTTTGTAGAATAAAGCTAATTTTTTTTTGCCAAAAATTGGCTTGGTGTGGTATATAGGATTCTGCCCCAAGCGGAGCAAATATTCGTAAAGGATTTGGAAATTCTAAAGAGGTCTTAGAAACACCAAAGATGCTTGATTAATATATTCAGCATCAAAAAGAGGTAGAAAACATAAAAAAAACACATAAGAATAACCATAAAATAAAGAAGCTGGGCATTGCTAGCCTTCTAAAAGTATCAGAGAAACGAAAGCTCTACAGAAAGTGATCGTAAACTCAACGTTGACACAATGGTTGGTAAACTGAAACAAAAATGCATGAATTAGGTTTCGAATTGAACCGACTATTTTTAAAAAGCAGACACTTTGACATTAGAAATTTCAATTGAAAGCAAGTAAAGAAGGGCTAAGTTCGAATGCAACCGAAAGTTGTATACGAATGAAAGCCAAGGGAAATACTTTAAGGTGTAAAACAAATCATATAGATTTTAGTCAGACGGATGTTCGAAAATCCTGATATTAGTTATATAGGGGATAGGCCAAGTTTCCGCACAAATTTATCTATTTTAGGCACAAAGATACACCGTTATGAAAACAACACATCTCCTTATTTTCATTGTGATAACTCACACATTGACCGATATATGTGGTACAAAGTCACTCGGAAGTTCGAAAAATTCTATTTTAGGTATATAGAGACTAAGGGAAATATTGTTTCGATCCAACCCATTTTTGACATACAGATATACCATTATAAGAAAAGGATTATCCTTTAATTTCCGTCATAAATATTACAAATTGACCGACATTTTGGATCAAAAGTCAGCTATAGGTACCGGAGTCTAAATATTCGATACCTAGGGGTTATTGTCTGATTTCGCTCATTTTTACAACATGACATAAAAATGCGAAAAAATACCACAAACCAAATTTTGTCGAAATCGGCTAGTCGGGTGCCGAGATATGAGATTTCATCAAAAAGTGGGCGGTGCCACACCCATTGTCCAATTTATACGCCGGTCCCTATAAAGTCTTATTATACCTTTCCGGTGGCAAATTTTTGGGTCATTTAGTTATTGATTTATCGCGCGTTTAGTAGTCTTGAACAGTACCGTTATATGGGAAATGAACGGTGTTTTCATCCGATTTCCTCCATATTCACAACATAGGTAGGAGTGCTTGTAGTATTTAGTTATTCTAGCTTAAGTGGCTTAGGAGATATTTACATTAAACTTATTAGAGGGCGGGGTCATGCCTACTTTTTTCAAAATATTTTGCCCACAGTTGCATCTTGCTCCTGCGATCAGCTGTGCCAAATTACAATTCTATATTTTAATTTAGTAGTTAGTTATGGTATAAATCATCAGCATGACGAGCTAAGTCGATTTTGCGGTGACCGTCTGTCTTATAATGTCTGAAGAAGTTCATCCGTTTTTTAGATATCGATCTGAAAATTTGCACACGTCATTTTCTCCTCAAAACTGCTAATTTGTCGGGACACGAGACGAGATTTCTTCAAAAATTTTGGTGTGGATTATTTAATAAGAGAACGTTGCGATCTCCGAAGAAATTATTCAAATGGAAACGCTTTAGCGTATACGTAATATACAAACTGGCCGATCAAAATTAAGCTCTCGTAAGGAATTTTTTGTATTTGTGAAGGGTATTATAACTTTGAAAATCGAATTTACTTCTCGAACTATTACTTTTATTATAAACCTTAAATATTTTTTCCACATTAATGAATGGTTGTGTTCCGAATCTCTCAATAAAAGAAATACTTTAAGAAATTGATCGCTAAGAAAGACACACACTAAAATTAAGGTGCTAAATATAAGCTTTCACATTCATCTATAAACTTCTCAACACTTAAGCCATGCACATAATTTAAAAATGCCTTTAAATAGCTTTAAATATTTCGAATGTGTTTGGCATTTGTGAAATTAAAGCAAACCAACTCTTTCGGTCATTTTAAGTGGATTTTATAACAAGAAAGCCTCTGCATTTGTAAGCAGTTGAAGCGCTTAGCATTTACTGCTTGCTTGCGAGTGCATTCCAATATTACTCATACGCACTGCAGACCCCACGAAGTATTAAATGTACTATAAGCCACCAACATGCTAGCACTTTAATTGTTGTA